GCCCGGCACCATGGGCACAGCCAGGCCCTGCCAGCCCGGCCATCGCCATGGGAATCACGCCTAGAACCACGGGCACAGCCAGGCCCTGCCATCGCCATGGGAACCACGCCCAGCACCACGGGCACAGCCAGGCCCCACCAGCCCCGTGGGACACACGCCCGGCACCATGGGCACAGCCAGGCCCTGCCAGCCGGGCAATACCTGTGGGAACCATGCCCATCACTGTGGGCAGAGCCAGGCCCCACCAGCACGGCCATCGCCATGGGAACCAAGCCCGGCAACGAGAGCAGAGCCAGGCCCCACCAGCCCGGCCATCACCATGGGACACACGCCCGGCACCCTGGGCACAGCCAGGCCCCGGCAGCCAGCCTGGCCATCGCCATGGGACACACGCCCGGCACCGAGAGCAGAGCCAGGCCCCGGCAGCCCGGCCATCGCCGTGGGACACGACCAGCACCACAGACTCTAAGTGCCTCCATCAAAGAGTTTAAGGGGAGACGTGACGAGTGGAAACCATCTTGGAGGAAGGAGTTAAAAGGAGCACGGGGGTCGACCACAGCAAGCGAGCCCCCAGGGGCTCTGCAAACAATGGGGTCTGGGGCCAAGGGTGCAGCCTTCCAGGAGCTGCCAACGGGGACGCGCCTATAGTGCCATAAAGCAGCCCTGGCTCACGGAGCTGTGCTGCGCCGTGACCCGCTGCCCGGGGGCCATGCCCTGGTCACACAGGTCGTCGTTGGGCCACATCGAGGTGTGGTGTCAGCGCTGATGAGGCTCCCCATGGAGACACCCCAAGATCCAGCCAGCCGCACCCTCTGCAGCCCAGGAACAGGCCTGTCACTCACTCACCGTCCCGGCACCCGCGAGCTGGACGGCTCATCCGATCCCAGCGCTTCCTCTTCCTCTTCATCCTCTTCCTCGCTGGCGTTCTCGGAGCCTGAGTCCTGCTGTTGGGTTTGGCTGGGTTTCTCCTCCCTGCCCCCTGGGGTGAGAATCGCCAAGGGAGATGAGCCAGCGCCACGCGGGAGGGGCAGCCCACCCACCCCCAGAGCTCGGGTTTCATTACCCTCATTTCCCTCAGGGAGTCAGAGCCGCTGCGGCTAACAACGCAGAGGAACAGCCACGCGTGGCAGGGGAGCGAAATCCAGCCAGGAACGAGATGGTTCCTTCCCCGCGTCACCCAGCCTCACACGTACTCGGGGCATAACACACCCATGGCAGGGAAGGGCAACGGCCCTGTGTTACTGATGGGAAACTGAGGCAGGGTCACACAGCGGCTGTGGCAGAGCTGGGAATAGACCCCAGCTCCCCTGAGCCCGAGGCCAGCGCTCTAGCCCCTGGGCCACCCTCTTCCTGAACCGCAGCCCAGAACAGCCCGCGAGTCCCAGGTCCTGTCCCGGAACGCCAGGCCAGCGCCATTTGGCTCACACGTGGTGTGGGACTGGTGGAGAGATGGGGTAGGGGAGGCCCTAGGTAGTGGGGTCAGCCAGACAGGACAGCTCAGTGCCCCAGCTTTGGGCTCAGGACTCTCAGAGGTGTTTTGGAGGTGAGCAGGTGCACTGCACCTTGCGGCCCTGTTACCACTGGGCACTCAGCCCGTGTACCCCGAACAGCACCCAGCCGCATGCCCACGTCCACCCGGCTCCCCTGCCCGACACAAGGAGGTAAACAGTGACAAAGCGGGGGATTTTCTTAGTGTTTTGCATGACCAGTGTGTGGGTCTCGGTTTCCCTGTGTGCTGTGTGTGTAACGAGGGGGTGGGAGAGGGAGTCTGTTGTTACAGAGGATCAGCTGGGACCCCGGACAATGGCCTGGAGATTGGATACCCTAGCAACTGGTGACTGGGAGGACCAGCCCAGCTTGGAAGCTGGCCAGTAGGATAGTGGGCTGAGGAGAGGACCCTGTGACCTAACCAGCTGATTCCAGCCAGTGAGGGCACAAAGGATGGAAGAGAGAGGACCCAGGTGACCTGTTTGCCTGGGACTGAAGGCAAAGGACAGAGGTGGGGCTTGCAGGAAGGTGCTAGAGGGTGGTCGGGTGGAAGGAGGTCGCTGCTGGACTGGGGACAAACCCCGATGTGCTGGGCTGAGGGTTGCTAGGCCCGAGGGCCCTGAGGACTGCCTGTGCTGCGTTCAGACGCCCAACAAACCCTTCAGTTTTACGCTGGCTGAGAGTCACTAGAGACCGGGGGTGGGGCATTGCTCCCTCTGGGTGTGGAGGCCCCGGGGGTCCTGCGCGATTGGACTCCCTGAGGGGGCCCACGGTGAGAGACAGGCGTGCTGAAGGCTCAGAGGTACGGTCCCAAAGAACCTAGCCCCGGAGAGAGTGTAACCTTCATGGAAGGCCGTCACACTGAGGGGGGTTCCTCCCAGAGACTGTATGGAGACAAGAGCCCAGGGCTGAGAGTCCATGACAGTAACCAATCAGCCAGCATCCCACAGCCCTGTCATGCAGCAGGGAGTTCCACATGCCTGTGAAAAGCAGCCGCCCTGAGAGCGGGTAGCCGTGCTGCCAACGCCCGGACGGCCGCAGCTCACTCACCGGAGGGAGGTCCTGCCTGCGTGGCTTGGTACTTATCCTTGGCCACCGCCCAGTCCACGGCCACCGTGCGCCCTGCGAGAGACAAGGAGAGCTGCCAGGAGAGCCAGGCTCCAGCTCGCTGGGCGAGCGGCGCTGAGACGGGCTAACCCAGCCAGCTAGAGCTGAGCCCAGGGGACAGTGCCAGGAGGCGCCGGAGCCAAGTGCAGGACGTGCCCACGGAACCGAGCCGCAGCTCCAGCGCAGGGGAGCGGTTTGGCAGCTCTGCAGAGCCGCTGCCTCGCCTTTCCTTCAGGGCTGATGACAGCTGGGCTGCGACGAACTCTGGGAGGCCAGCGCAAGACTCTGCAGTGGGACAAACCGCGGGCGCCTTTCCCGGGACCCCAACGCCGCAGGCCAGCTCTGAAGGAGCCCAGTGCCCGGCTCTTGCATGGCGGGGCAGGCCGGGGACAAGGGGGCGCTCACCTTTGATCTCCTTCATGTTCATCCCTTTCAGGGCCTTCCCCGCTTGCAGGATGTTCTTGAACTGAACGAAGGCAAAGCCCCGCATCTTCCCGTCTGCAAGAGACCAAGGCTCAGAGTGCACCGGGCCGAGGGCGGGGAGCCCAGGGCTCAGCTATCCCCTCCAGGACACGCTCAGTCTGCTCCAGGACTAAACCCCAGGGGTGCTGGGAGGGCTCAGCTAGCGTCCAGCCTAGCAGCCCCCAACCCGGCGTGCCCCAGCCCCACCTCCCCCCACTCCTGCTTCTTGTTTAGCATGTGCAAGGATCCTGTAGTAGAAACGCTGCCACTTGGGACACGGACGCAAGCCCCAGGGAACAGCCCTCACCAAGCCGTGGACGACACAGGAACTACCAAGAAGGCAGCGTGGTCAAGCAGCCGGGCTGCTGCGCTGGGAATCCGAGAGCTGGGGTCTCTTCCTGCTGCCTTGTGGTGCCCTGGAGGGAGGCGCTCCCCGTCTGTAACATGGGGGTCTCGCTTGGACAGGGCTTTACCAACAGGCCTGGTGGCTAAGATACCAATGGCCAGGATGATCATGTGCAGGCTCTGACGTTCGGCACCCAAACGAGCGACCTGAGCCCCCAGAAGCCCCTGCAAAGGCAGCTTGGCCGATGGCTCTGACTTCCCCCGCGTGGAGCACGTGGGCTCCCCCATCGCCAGCAGCCAGCTAAGCCCTACCTGCTTTCCTGGGGATGTTCACCTCCAGCACAGCTCCAAAGGGAGAGAACAGAGCCTTCAGGTCATCTTCTGCGCACTGGGGAGAACAAGGGGGTCAGACCGATGAGGAAGCCGGAGCAACGCAGCTGGAGGCCTCACCCCAAACACGGGCAGCTGGGCTGAGCGAGGAGGGTTAACAGCCCCCTCCGGCCAGGTAAATAAAGCTTCCGAGCTCACCATGAACACAGGGGCCGGCGTAGTGCTCTGCACTGCCAGCTCTGAGCCTCACTCCATGGGGTGATGGGCTGGGGGGGCCGGGCAGCACTGTGGGCAGTCCCCTAGAAAGTGACGGTGCCCTTAGTGCCCACTGTGGGTTATCCACGAACAGCTCGGCTGGGCTCTGAAGCCAGTTCCACCCCACGCCAGTAGAAAAGCAGCGACGGTGCCAGGTTATAAACCCTGGAACCCTCCAGAAGTGACTCCCAGCACGTGCCACCTCCCGCCTCATTTCGTTGCTCTGCTGTAGCTATGTGCCAGACACAGACAGCGTCAGAGCCGCTGCACGTCCGAGCCCTGGGCTGTGATCTCGCCTTGCAGTCACTGGGCACGCCGCAGGGCCGGTGATCCCATTCACCGCTCCTACCTTAAAGCTCAGGTTGCGGATGATCAGCCTGGCTTTCTTGGGGGCCCCTTTCGGCTTTCTCGGCTTCTGCTCTTCTGGAGGGGTCTCCGAGGCGTCTAATGAACAGAGAGCAGAGCAAGTGAGCACGATACTGCAGGGCCTGCCTGCTACGGGCTGCGCTGCCACGCGGCTCCCTTCAACCATGGGACAAGACGTTTCTTCCCCAGCTGCACTATGACACTCAGGCCGCCCTTGGCTGGGGAGGAGCTCTCCGCAGACAGGTGCCCACGTCACAAAGGACACCAGCTCAAGGGGGACTAACTGGCCCCGGTGTGGGGGCTGAGCTCCGTCCCCCTCACAGGGGCATTCCCTCCAGGGCAGAGTTGAGACACACCATGGGGGGCTCGCACAGACACCGCCTGCAGCGCCCCCATGCCGTGGGCAGAGAGAAGAGTCCGTCTCCAGCGACATGGAGCCAGCACCCATGCCGACAGGTGCCAAGCTCCCAGACAGCAGTTTGCTTTGCAACGCCAGGATCCGCGCTGCCACCACAACAACAGAGCCAGACTGTTCCCAACTCACCCGGCTGCCGCTGCTTCTTCTCCCTCAGCTTCTTCTTCGCAACAGCCACCTTGATCTCATGGCCTTCGAAGGTGGTGACCTCCCTGAGGGCTCGCTGGGCATCCTCCAGCAGGGAGAAGGTGACATAGCCAAACCCACGGCAGGTTTCACTGCCTGCAAGAGAGGGGCAGCGTGACTGACACCTCACCAGGCTCTGCCAAGGGCCCCTGGGGGTGGGCGAGGGGCTCTGGGTGTTCTAGGGCACCAGGCTTTGCAGTGAGGAGGCCCCTTCGCAGGAAACCACAAAGTTGCTGAAAGCCCTTTTCTGCTAGGACGTGTCCAAGCTTCTTCCTGAACCCCCTGCCCTGACCCTCAGGGCTGGCCAGGATATGCTGCCTAGTGGCGACAGAGAAACAGGAGGGATGGCACAAGGTGGCGGGGCTGGGACAGGGTCTCCCCAGGGCCAAGGATCCGCTCCCCTTCCTGCGCGGAACAACTCACGGAGACTCCAGGTGATGAGATCCAAAGACTCACCTTCTCCCCCAATCCCCTGAGGTTTTCCAGGTGCAGCCCCCTGCACACACACCCCTCACTCCCGCCCCACTCCAGGCCTCCCCCGCCCTCCCCACCAGGCCTGGCTCCCACTTCCCCATCAGGGGAACTGGGCTCTTTCCCTGCCCCAGCTGGGGGCCCCACGATCTGGTCCCCTACCTTGCTCCCAGGGGACCCCAGCGCTCCCTGCCCCAAGCTCAGCCTGCTCCCTTCTCCCACCCCTAGGGGGGCACAGCTCCTCCTTCCCCCAAGCTAGCCCCCCCCCGCCGCCAGCCCTCGCCCCATAGCTCCAGCTGCCCCCAA